AAAAAAAAAAAAAAAAAAAAAAAAAAAAAAAAAAAAAAAAAAAAGGAGAGAATTGTCAGCCCAGAGCAATCGGACATGTTTGTACCATAATCAAATCAATGAAAAACAAACCCGTTCCAAAAACCCTAATAGAAGACTATAATATGTAGAGATATGAATTGAAGTTGTGAAGATTGAAGGAAGAAATCCAAACCTGAGAGAAGAGAGAGTTGAATCGCAAAGAGAAATGCGGGAACCAGCGTCTCAGTGGATTTTAGTATAGCTCTATTAATGGCTTGGGCCTCACTCCAACCCCTTCTCCCCCTTTCTCAAGTTTTTCATTTTCTAAATTTTAAATTATGCAAAATACCAATAAATGTTGTAATTTGTTTCAAAATTGTATTTACATTTTAAAAGCTTAGAATATCTTTTAATTTTTTTTTTTTTAAATCAATCAAAATTTAAGAATATTAAAAAAATAAAAATACTAATATATCCTCGAAAGTATTTTTTATCATTTATTTTAAAGTTAAATAGTATTATTGAAATATTTCAAAAATAAAAAGTATTTTAAAAACAAATAGAAATATCAACCAATGGCCTCAGTGTGTGAAAGTGGGCTTCACTTTTGTTGGGCCTATAAAAATTGGGCTACCCAATCATAAGTAATATACATATGGATTTTGTCTTTGAATTTTCTCTTATTTAATTTTTAAAATAAACACTTTTAATGAGTCGAAAAAAAATGACGTGGCAGTTTAATTTCTTAATTATATTATATTAATTTGGCAAATAATATTAATATCTTTTGCAATGTGAGAACACGACCTCCTGAAATAGATGAACCCTATGGTCATCGATGTCAAACACGTGCTCTTGTGCTTCTTCAATAGCTACGTGTTTGCAACCCTAACTCTAATAATAAAGTCAGCTGTAGACGATTACTAATTTAAATTAATTTTCAATTTTTTTTACTACAAATCTTAACTAATTCGAACATAGTTTGTTTTTAATCTTTCAAATTTAAAGTAAATATTCAATTCGATAAAAGAAATTAATACATATTGTCTTCTTCCTAATTTTTCATAAAATTTACTTTAGGTAATTTTGAAGGTTGAACTCTAATTTTAAGAAAATTACAAACAAATTCAAAATTGTCTTGACAAGTTTTGTAAAAATATTTAATATTATAGTAAATATTTATTAAGATACCAAAATTAACACAACTCAACCATTTTTTTCACTTTCTTTCCGTTATTAATCCGTAATTACTCCCAATTTTTTTCTAATTATAATTTTAGTCTATAAATTTGTAATCTTATCTTTAAAAGATGAATTTTGTAATTTTATGTGGAATGATATATTCAAAATTATTTTAAAATTAATTGATATATTAAATATAAATTATTTTTAATAAAACTAAACTTCTTTTTAAAATAAAAAAGGGATGATTCAATAAATAATTAAAAAAAATAGATATAAATTAAAATTTTAAATATTTAGTAGCTATTTTTTTAAAAGGGAGAGGTAAAGTTGCATTTAATCTAATATTTTATTAGTTAATTAATTTCAGTAGGACTCAAATGGGTCCATTTATTTATTTATTTATTTATTTTTTTTTTTTTTAAGGTCTGTATCTTAAAAAGCCTTAGAAGAAAGCAAGGTTGTTTGGAGAATGAATGGCAATTTCAGAGTACAACATAGTTAGATTACAGTGGACTTTAGCTTTGGTATTGATAGCGGCGTTATTCGACGGCGTTTTAGGAGGTAACCACAATGGTAGCAACATAACTTACGATAGAAGATCGTTGATCATNGATCTTATGTGATGATTTTTTTTTTTTTTTTTTTTTTTTTAATTTAGGGAATTATGTTTTGTTGCATTAAGGTGACACTTTTGGTTGTTACGTAGACTTGCCATCTTTGATAGCCAAAGCAAAGGCAGGTGAAATAGATGTGATACAAACCTACATGTTCTGGAACATTTATGAACCTCAACAAGGAACGGTAATTAAATTTTTATACTTTCTATTTGTTAAAAAGGTGACATGATATAAACCAAAAATAAAAATCTTGTTTGTCCAGTATGATTTTAGTGGTGGATGTGATATAGTAAGGTTCTTAAAGGGAGTACAAGCACAAGGATTATACGCTTGCCTAAGGATTGGACCCTTCATTGAGGCAGAATGGAGCTACGGGTAAGAACACATGAGACATTCCTTTACAACTTTATATTCCTTTAAAAATGACCATTTCTTAGTCCTTGTCTTAACTTCCTAATGCAGTGGTCTACCATTTTGGCTACATGATATTCCGAGAATTGTTTATCGAACTAATAATTAACCATTCAAGGTATTGTTTTCTTTTTCTTTAGGGAAAAATTGATATCAAAATGGAAAGAGGTTACGTTTTCATGGTCATCATGCACCTTTAATGGCAGCTTCACATGCAAAACTTCACCACGAAGATAGTGAACACGATGAAGTCGGAAGGCTTATATGCTTCACAGGGAGGGCCAATTATACTTTCACTCACAGGTTTGAGCCAGTGGGCAACACCACCAATGGACCTCCTTTAACTCCTTTATACTTTCACTCCTTTAAGAAAACTCATCAATGGAGTTGCAGATTGAGAATGAATACTCGATGGTGGAGGCATCCTTTCATGAGAAAGGACCACATTATGTTAAATGGGCAGAAAACATGGCGGTTAGCCTTCAGACTGGTGTGCCATGGACCATGTACTGGTGTGCCATGGACCATGTGCAAGCAAGACGATGCACCTGACCCTGTGGCATATACGTAAACATAATCTTATGACATATATTTTCCTTTCTGTTTCTATTTCACTTAAATATTCAATTGGTAAATAAATGCATGCAATGGGCTAGAATGTGGAGAAACATTCGTTGGACCAAACTCGCCTAATAAGCCATCCATTTGGACCGAGAACTGGATTAGCAAGTAAGTCTTGCACTTGCATTGTATCCTAATATTTTGCTCATCTTTTTCCATGAAAGAGGAAAAATGTGGTTTACCTGGATTGATATTAATTTCTTACGAGTGTTTGGTTGCAGCTATCAAATTTATGGAGACGAACCGTACCTAAGATCAGCAGAGGATATTGCATTTCATGTAGTCCTCTTCATTGCTGCAAAGAATGGGGCTTTTGTCAATTATCATATGGTATGCATATAAATCTCACTCATTTGTTCTTATGAACCTATTTGAAGATGTGATTATTTTAAACCAAAAACCACTCTTCACTTTCCCAGTATCATGGAGGAACTAATTTTGGAAGATCAACGGCTGAATATGTCATTACAGGCTACTATGATCAAGCACCTTTGGACGAATATGGTAGACATTTTCGAAAACCATATCTTCGTTAAATTAGCTCAACGATTCGAATTTTTGCATCAGTTGGAAACTGTTCACCACTTTTTTTTTTTTCTACCGGTTTAACTAGGGAACCAAAATGGAGTCATCTTAAGGAATTACATGCTGCAGTTAAGCTATGCACGAAGCCCTTGCTTTCTGGAACAAAATCCATCATCTCACTGGGCCAACTACAAAACGTAAGTTTATGCCGTCAATAACATCATTCCATGCAATTCAAAGTTGTGTTCAACACAATCAAGGATGAAAAAGAAAGGACATCTACAATGACTACAATATAAGAACGTAAATGATTACTTGTTGAGGTTGAAATTCTTCGAAATTATAGACCTATTTACTAATCCATCTCTTTTGGCAGACCATTATGTTCAAAACTGAGTCTGGAGAGTGTGCTGCCTTTTTGGTGAATAGGGGAGCTGAGGATGTAAGTGTTCTGTTTCAGGAAGTTACATACGAGTTCCCTTCGAGTTCTATCAGCATCTTACCAGATTGTAAAACCGTGGCCTTCAACACCAAAAGGGTAAGGCTTAATCCAACAACTAGTTTCTCTTATTACTTATTAATTTTAACCCTTGAAATACTATTTATCAGGTAAGCGTACAATACAATACGAGAACAATGAAGGCAGTACGAATGTTTGTTCGACATTTGAGGATTCTATTGACATGGCTAAGTTAAAAGCATGACTCTGATACCATGTTAGGAATCACGAACCTCCACAACGGTATGATATTATCCATTTTTATCATAAGCTCTCGTGACTTTGCTTTTGATTTCCCCAAAAGGCCTCATACCAATGGAGATGTATTCCTTACTTATAAACTCATGATCATTCCTTTAATTAGTCAATGTGGGACTCCTTCCGAACAATCCCTAACAATTCTCCTCTCGAACAAAGTACACCATAGAGTCTCCTCTGAAGCCTATGGAGCCCTTGAACAGCCTCCCCTTAATCGAGGCTCAGCTCCTTCTTTGGTTCCCTCGAACAAAGTACACCCTTTATTCGACACTTGAGTCACTTTTGACTATATATTCGAGGCTCACAACTTCTTTGTTCAACATTTAAGGATTCTATTGACCTGGCTAAGTTAAAGGCATGGCTCTAATACCATGTTAGGAATTGCGGACCTCCATAATGCTATGATATTATCCACTTTGAGGATAAGCTCTCATGGCTTTACTTTTGGTTTCATACCAACGAAGATGTATTCCTAACTTACAAATCCATGATCATTTACTTAGCCAATGTAGGACTCCTTCCCAACAATCCTCAACAACTTAGTGTAAGGCAACATCTCTATCAAGTTAGCTTACAATATTACACGGACGTAAGAGGATCATATTGGTAGAAGAATCAACATATACACACAAATGAAGCTCGTACAAATCCTAAAGAAATCTCATTTCCAAGCATGTTCTTCAGTCTAGGCGAAAAATAGAGAGTATGCGTGATTAAAACTGCTGAAAAAGAGATAACTAGAAGTTTAATGGATGTCCAACCTTTTCTCATAAAGACGTGCTGAGACAAGGCTAGCAAATGTCTCAGGTTTCATGTCCCTCTCTTATCGAAGCTGGTATAGTTTGTGCTGATAGACAAGCCGTTGATACCTTCATTTCAAGCGCAAAAGGAGTCAAGCAATGGAAAATTAACCAAACAGAAAAGAATCAACCACAGGAACATACAGTGTCTGAGCATCGGTACCGAGGCCCGAAAGGCCAAGAAATAGCTTATCGTGAATCCGGTAAATTTTCTGGAAATCTGTGGCAATTGTCTGAAGCTGAACTCCAAGCCTACGATCGCTAGCAATCAACACAATTCTTCCTCAACATCGCAACTACGGCACTTCCATTATACTCAAAGATCTACAAAAACAATTTAATACCACAATGTCTGAACTACATATAAGCTAAGAATTCCAAAAGAATGAGAATCTTAATCTTTCCTGGAACAAAGTATGAGAATCTTTGTGACATGAGAACAAAAAAAAAAGAACAAGAGAGAATTGTCAGCCCAGAGCGATCGGAAATGTTTGTACCGAAATCAAAATCAATGAAACGCAAAGAGGACCAAAACATGTAGAGATATGAATTGAACTTCTGAAGATTGAATGAAGAAATCCAAACCTGAGAGAAGAGAGAGTTGAATCGCAAAGAGGAATGCGGGAACCAGCGACTCAGTGGATTTTCGTATAGCTCTATTAATGGCTTGGGCCTCACTCCAACCCCTTCTCTCCCTTTCCGAAGTTTTTCATTTTCTAAATTTTAAATTATACAAAATACCAATAAAATTTGTAATTTATTTCAAAATTATATTTACATTTTAAAAGCTGAGAGTATTTTTAAGTTTTCAAAAACTAAGTTCAAAAATATTTTATTTAGAATTTGTTTTAAAAGTTTTAATAATGTTTTTAAATATTAAATAACAATTTCTATAATCTATAACAAATTGTTAGTATTCTCCATTTTTAAGCTAAAAAGTATTTTTAAAATATTTGAAAATTAAAAAGCATTTTTTTAAAATAAATAGACTCAGCTACAAACTATTCTCAATTTTTATTAAAAAAAAAAAAAAAGTTTAAATCCATCATCAACATGACAGTTTGTTGAACAATTTAGCATAAAGTTTTAATATTTGTCTTATGATTTTTAAATATCATTAACATGCAAATAATTAGTCAACGTAAAATAAAACAATAAAAAAATTAAATTTAAGAAAAAAACAAATTAAAAATTTTATTTTAAGAACTATAAAGAAAAATATCCAAATATAAAAAGTCTAATTAATTTCATATTAGTTTTAATGTTGTTTGTTTTTAATCTTTATTAATTTCATATTAGACTTCTTTAAATTCATTAAATGCACGTAAAATTAATTTAAAATAATACATATTTTCTTTTTCATGCTTTTTCATAATATCTATTTTAGGTCATTTTCAAATTTGACCTCTAATTTTAACAAAATTACAAACAAACTTAAAAAATGTGAGCTTAAAAATTGAATTTAATTCAATATTTCCTTAATTGGGCTGTTATTTATTAGGCAACCATTTAAATTACCATACATATCTTAAATTATTTTAAAAAAACATAAATAAACAAAAATTAAAGCTTAAGTAAAATTTAGACGTAATCTAATGGGCTGATAATGCCATATGATTATTATTTTATTTACTCAAATATTTTATTAAAATAATAATCTAATTATTGGTCTTTCTTCTTATTTAGACGTGAAAATTTTAAATATTAAAAAGTTACTTAAAAAAGGGTTGAATTAAACTAATTAAATATATTTTTAATTATTTTGATATTCGAAAAAAATATTCGTACCCGTGTGAATGTTTGGAAGCTAAGCTTATGTTTGGAAGGCGTTTCAGACACGATAGCTTTCCTTATTTTCACTTTCTCCTAGTTATTAATCTATAGTTACTCACCCTTTTCGTTTAATTATAAATTTAATAACCTAATTAATAAATTTTAAATTTTAAGTATAAATAGGGATATGGTATATTCAAATTTATTTTAAAAATAATTAATATATTAAATATAAATTATTTTTTATAATACTAAACTTCTGAAAATAAAGAAGGTCAAATAAATTAAATTAGACCTAAGTTGCTAATTTTTTTAAAAGATGGGAGAAGTTGAAATTAATTTAATATTTTATTAGCTAATTAATTCAGTTTGGACTAAAATCAATCCATTTGTTATTTATTTAATTTAATTTTTATTTATTTAAAGTAATGAAACGCCAGTTGTGTATAAAATCAAGAAAAATGTCTTGTTCTATACATATAATTGATTTATGAAACTCGCCTGGATAAAGACGAGTTAGCATACTTCACTCAAGTGAGAGAAAAGTTGATTTCTAGTACTAACATAAAAGAGTAGCTATATTGATCGTGAAAAGTCTCGAAAGAAAGCAAGGTTGTTTTGAGAATCAATGGCGAAATCAGAGCATGGCATCATTCAATTACTGTGGATTTCAGCTTTGATATTGATGGTGGCGTTATTAGACGGCATCCTCGGAGGCAACCACAGCGGTGGCAACGTAACTTACGACGAAAGATCGTTGATCATCAATGGTGAACACAAAATTCTCTTCTCTGGTTCTATTCACTATCCTCGGAGTACTCCCGAAGTGAGTTTGATTTCTTTCTTTCTTCTATTTTCCATCCATAAATAGTGTTTTGACTAATTGAATTACGTGCTTACAAGAGATATGATTATTCATGATGTCATTATAATTAAAATTCATTTAATAAAAAATACAATATTTTGACATTTTTATTTTGTTTTAATACGAGTTTTGTTTTAAATATTCATTTCAAATGACATACCCGTCATATCGAAATTATTTTAATATAGTAAAAAATAATTTTTTAAATTTTTAAATTTTTATTATTGAAATATTTTAGTATGATCCATGAATTACATATTATAAATTTATTATAATTTTTTATATTAAATTTATATTGTGAATTAAACAAAAAAAAAAATTGAATGTATTTCCTTATAATAACAGTGGGTCTAAAATTGAGCTTGAAGATGTGTATTTTAAAATTTATAATAAATATAATAAAGAACAAAGAATAAAAATAAAGTGATTCCCGCACGCGTTGAATTTAATTCACGTGGGAACATTGCTGTTCCGAGAAAATTATTCAATGGGCCTAGTTGGATCCCAATAAGAGGGAAAATTACCCAATGGGCCTGGTTAAACCCGAAAAGCCCACAACTTTTTTCACCTGTATTGTAAGAGTATTTCAATTTTATATTAAAATTTGTATCGAATGGCTTAAAAAACTAAAATAAATAAAGGTGATGTTTTTGGTTGTTATTGCAGATGTGGCCTTCTTTGATAGCCAAAGCAAAGGCGGGTGGAATAGATGTGATACAAACCTATGTGTTCTGGAACATTCACGAACCCCAACAAGGAACGGTAATTCAATTTCTGTAGTTACTATTTGTCAAAAAGGTGACAAGACATAAACCCAAAAATAAAAATCTTGTTTTTTTTTTTTCAGTATGATTTTAGTGGTCGACACGATATAGTAAGATTCTTAAAGGAAGTACAAGCACAAGGATTGTATGCTTGTTTAAGGATTGGACCCTTCATTGAGGCAGAATGGAATTATGGGTAAGAATACATGATATGCTTCCTTTAAAAAGGATCATTTCTTAGTCCTTGTCTTAACTTTCTAATGCAGTGGTCTACCATTTTGGCTACATGATATTCCGGGAATTGTTTATCGAACTAATAATGAACCATTCAAGGTATTGTTTTCTTTTTCTTTAGGGGAAAATTGATATCAAAATGGAAATAGGTTACGTTTTCATGGTCACCTTGCACCTTTAATTGCAGGTTCGCATGCAAAACTTCACCATGAAGATAGTGAACATGATGAAGTCGGAAGGCTTATATGCTTCTCAGGGAGGGCCAATTATACTTTCACAGGTTCGAGCCAGTGGGCAACACCACAAATGAACCTTTTTTTTTTTTAAATTTTTTTTTCTTGTCACACTCCTCTAAGAAAACTCATCAATGGAGTTGCAGATTGAGAATGAATACTCGACGGTGGAAGCATCCTTTCATGAGGAAGGACCTCTTTATGTTAAATGGGCAGCAAACATGGCGGTTAGCCTTCAGACTGGTGTGCCATGGATCATGTGCAAGCAAGACAATGCACCTGACCCTGTGGTATATACGTAAACATAATCATACGAGTTGTATTTTCCTTTATGTTTATATTTTACTTAAATATTCAATTGGTAGATAAATACGTGCAATGGGTTGAAATGTGGAGAAACATTTGCTGGACCAAACTCGCCTAATAAGCCATCTCTTTGGACTGAGAACTGGACTACCTAGTAAGTCTTGCGCTAGTATCCAAATATTTTGCACATCTTTTTCCATGAAAACTGGATTGATATTAATTTCTTATGAGGGTTGGGTTGCAGCTATCAAGTTTATGGAGGCGAACCGTACGCAAGATCAGCAGAGGATATTGCATTTCATGTAGCCCTTTTCATTGCTGCAAAGAAGGGGGCTTTTGTCAATTATTATATGGTATTTAGATATAAATCTCTCAATTTTTTTAATTGTTGTTATGAATCTTTAAATATTTAAACCAAAAACCACTCTTCACTTTCTCCCAGTATCATGGAGGAACCAATTTTGGTAGATCTGCTGCTGCATATATGATTACAGGCTACTATGATCAAGCCCCTTTGGACGAATATGGTAAAAACCGTATCTTCAATAATTAGCTCATACCATTCGTATTTTTGCATCAACTGGAAACTGTTCACCACATTTTTTTCTGCAGGTTTAATTAGGGAACCAAAATGGAGTCATTTTAAGGAATTACATGCTGCAGTTAAGCTATGCACCAAACCCTTGCTTTATGGAACAAAATCCAACATCTCACTCGGCATTCGACAAGATGTAAGTTTATTCTATTAATAAACTCATTCCAGGCAATTAAAAGTTATTCTTGCAAATTATAAACCTATAAACCAATTTACTTGTAACCACCTAAGCTCACTGCTAGCAGATATTGCCATCTTCAGCATCTTCCTTCTAAACTTCCCCCCAATGTTTTTAAAACGTGTATATTAAGGAAAAGTTTCTACACCCATATAAGGAAGGTGAGATCTCATATTACTCATCCATCTCTTTTGGCAGGCCTTTGTGTTCAAAACTGAGTCTGGAGAGTGTGCTGCCTTTTTGGTGAATAGGGGAGTTAAGGACGTGAGTGTTCTGTTTCAGAACGTTACATACGAGTTACCTTCATATTCCATCAG